TCTCATCTGGACCCCACCTGACCTACCTCCCGTCATGTTTGCTTATTCCTAGGGTGTGTCTGTGTGACATCTTCTGTATGGCCTTGCCCAGTCACATTTATGTTTCTGCCTGTGTCTTAGTTACAGCTGGTATATGTTCACACCTGGGATCAAACAAAGATGGCCTCAGTCATGCCTGGGGTTCAGTTGTGGCCAAGGAGATTTGAGACATGTTGAGGACTGTCTGGTGCTTGTTGTAGGCTGTCTGGTTCTCCTGCTGATCATGTTTGGGTCATGTTTGGGATTTGTCTGATACTTGGGACCCAGGGTCTCTCTAAGAAATGTCTGATACCTTGTGTGAGTCTTGTCCAAGGCAGGGCATAGGGTATGTCTGGGTCATACCTGGTCCATATCTGTGATATTAATGGGACCACATTTAAGTCGTGTCTGGGCCCACCTGTGGGACACACTGAGGTCATGTCAGATTGTCTTTGCATCTATGTCAGATTATGTTGTGACATGTCAGGTGTGTCATGCATGTTGTATCATGTCAGGACATGTTAACACATGTTGGGCCATTTCAGATGTCCCAGGAGATGTTAGAGAGTGTTGGAGCAGACAAGGTGTCCAAGGTCTCTGTAAAGGTGTTTTGTAGAGCACTGGGCTGTGCTTGGGTGTGTACCGCATGTTGGACCATGTAGGAGCCATGTCAAGGCATGCTGGCATGTTCTGTCATCTTGGGGTGTGTCTAAGTATGTGGGGGTGTGTCTGTGGTCTCTGCCATTTCTCTAACTCTGCTGCAGCCATATTTGGTATCCCCTTGCTTTCCTCCTTCCCCCCTTCTCCCTGTTTCTTCTGCAATTGTCCCATTCCTGCTATGCTGGGNCTCCCTCTCTGAGCTCACTGTTACCGCCCTGTCCTTGGCCCAGGAGCTCACCCTCTGTGTGCCCTGCAGAATGCTGCAGCTGAGCCTGTCCTGGCTGGGCCTGGGGCCACTGGCAGCCTCCCCGTGGCAGCTCCTGCTACTGGTGGGGGCCTCCTGGCTCCTGGCCCGCTTCCTGGCCTGGGCCTACACCTTCTATGGCAGGTGTTGCCGCCTCCGATGTTTCCCGCAGCCCCCAAGGCGGAACTGGTTTTGGGGTCACCTGGGCCAGGTGAGTGTGGGCAGCACGACGAGTCTGGGGTATCAGGGTGGATGGGCCTCCCAAGGGGTTCGGAACGAAGCTCAGAGGTTGGGCTGGATCTAGTACAGCTGAGAAGTGAGAAGGGTCAAGGGGAGCCTCTCTTTCCTCACTCATTCCTCTGCTCTGCCATCGCAGGCCTGTCCCACGTCCCTGTCCTACCCTCTAGCCTGCTTTGTATCCATGTCCTGCCTGTGTTCCCCACATCAGTGCACCTCTGAGGGGCTCCCAGAGTGGCTGCACAGAGCTGGGTTGTCTAGAGTGCCCATTCTCCACAGCTGGCTTTCAGACCACCTCAGGGGCGCTGTCCAGGGTCCGCGCCCTACGTCTGGCCCATTTCCTTGTGTCTGCTCACTCTGGGCTGCAGTTTCACCACAGAAATTAGCTATGATCTCCCCACCCCCACCCACTGGGGACAGCTCTTCACCTCATCTATTTCCTTATCACCTTCCCCTTATCAACTCTTCTCCCTAACACGTCTCAGTGGGCAAGTGGCCCAACCTGCATAAAGTGGCCAATCCCCTTTCAGAAGCCTTCTTTATCTCCCTGCCCAAACTCCAGACCTTGACTTTTGACTGGATCTAGTCCTGCTTATTTAAACATTTAATTTGTCCAATTACTTATCTGGCTCTCCAACTTGATGGTAGCTCTAGGAATACATTTATCTGAAGTCCTCAGCCTAGGGGCAGGCATACAGCAGGCACTTAATAAATGTTTGATCACCTAAGTGATGAACTTGCGGTCACCTCCCTCGGTCAAGGCTAAAGGGATGAGTGTCCAGCCTTGGAGGCAGCCGGAATGTTATCTAGTTACAGCAGTTCCGTTTCCTGCTCTGAGGGCTTGGCCGTGGGTGCTGGCCTTAGTCACTCGTTTTCTCCCAGTGACTCTTGCTGCAGACCTCAGTTGAGTTACTCTCCCTCTTTGGACCAATCTAACCAAGTGCTTTGAATCCTCACTTCAGGGTCCTTGGGGAGCAGTGAGTAGGTTTCAAGGGTGAATACAACCTATGTTCACCTCACTGGAGCACCTGGGATATTTTTCAGGCTTGGATGGGGCATCCTGAGGGACTGGAGAGGACACCTCACTGGGAGGTGACCCACCCTCCTTTCCCTTTGGGGGGATGTGGCCTCAGTTTCTTTGTTTGTAAATAGCATGATTGACAGGGGTGTCCATAGGTTGAGGAGACATAGATAGACAGACAAGGATGCACTCCAACTGATAGATAGACTGGCAGACAGGATCTACTAAGGTGGATGATAGATAGATAGATGTATAGATAGATAGATAGATAGATAGATAGATAGATAGATAGATAGATAGATACAGATGGATAGATATAGATAGATAGACAGACAGACAGGATGCATTATACACAGCGCCTGGCCAGCAGAAGAGGCTTAAAGGTGAGAGCTGCCCTCATGATTGATGAGCAGTCACGTCTGTTCCTTGGAGTTGGCTGGGACTGGCGGTTCCTGGGTCTGCAGGCCCTTCACCATTTAAAGAACTGAAAGCCATGGGGACTGGCTAGGACGAGACCCAGGGACAAGTCCGGAGGCCACCCTGCTGCCCATAAACCTCATGTGCCCCCCACTCCATGCGTGTAACCACTCCAAGGATGAGAAAAGTCCATCTCTTCCAGCCAAGGTTGGCCTCTCTGTGAGAAGAGAGTATGTCTTCTCCCTTGCCCTGGGGTGAAACTTGGTGACTTGAACAGACCTCCAGGACACTCCTGCCTCAAGAAGGAAAGAGCTGGAAGAAGCAGATTCCCTCCATCCATGCAGCATCTGCACACACTGCCCACTGCAGAGGCTGCAGGGGGAGGGGGCTCTGCTGAGGCTCCTGCTGAGTAGTGACAGCTCTGCCTTGCTTACAGGTCACTCCCACTGAGCAGGGCTTGAGGACCGTAACTCAGCTGATTACCACCTACCCGCATGGATTTATGACCTGGCAGGGTCCCATCATGCCCCTCATCATTTTATGCCACCCTGACATGGTCCGGGCGATCACCAACGCCTCAGGTACCCACACAGAGCTTGACCCAGCCCTCTTCCCCTCTTTTCTCTCAGCCACCTTCCTCTTTTCTTTATGCATTCAAGCCTGCCTCCTCCCTCTAATTCCCTCTGTCCCCTTTCTATTGTCCTGGACAACACTGGTGCCTCAGTAGGTTTCAATCCAAGGTCCTCTTCTGGAGGAAACCCCAATCTTGATGAGATAGATCTGGACAGAGGGATCCCCAACCTGCTGTGGTCAGGAATTGTGCAGAGGAGGCTGTGGCAGCCCAGAGGAGAAGCAAGATCTCTGCTGGGGCAGGCTGGAAGGCTTCCTGGAGGAGGAGGTGCTGGAAATAGATGTGGAACAATGAGCAGAAATTGTTTAAAGCAGAGGGTCGAATGACTCAGTGGGCATTGCTAGCATCCGAGGCACCCTGCCAGGCCTGGCCTCAGACCTACCCACCCCCATCAGGCCCAGGGCTATGAGGCCTTGCCGCTGGTGGA